GCAAGGTGGGCAGTTCAAACTCACCAGCCACTCCTGGGAAATGCTATACAGGGTCGCTGTGAGTCAGAACTGACTCGACAGCACTTAATAACAACAACAACAACAACATCTACTAGTCACTTCAATTTTTCTGTAGGAATAACAAGACTCTAAAAATCTCTTTATCTGCCTTCCTCGTTAGTCACATGGCTCTTTTCTTGATCCTGTTGTGGTCCCCTCCCTTCTGTTTTTCTTTGTTCACTCAACTATTGCTCCTGAATGGAGACATTTCACCTAGCTTTCTGTTGATTCCACCTCAGTTTATTCCTCTTTCTGAGTAAGCTCACTCTGTTTTATTTCCATAGTACTTTTCTCACTCACTATCCCAAAATCTCTCATTACATGCATTATAACAGCTTCAAGCTTATCTCCTTGCGTCTATGTGCATATACAGATTTTCTACACATTTCTTCCAGTTTTTGCCAGAAAAGCACATCCTACTTGGTTGGTCCGAGAGTCTGAGAAAAGAAGAAACATCTTCAATAAGATGGAATGACACTAGGGGCTTAAACATATCAAAGGTCATGGAAATGGCTCTTGTCAAGGAACCAATTCTGTAACACATAAGGTCACCAAAACCATTCAACTCCAACCAATAACAACAGCTTCCAGTCTAAGATTCCAGGAGAACAATTTTGGAAAGCAGTTTTGGTCCTTTTAGTCACTTAATTAAAAATTCTCTGTCAGTAGTGAGCAAAACCCCTTAAAACCAGTTGAGTTGATTATGATTCATGGGTTCTTGGGTGGTACATACAATTAGGTAATACACTCAGATGCTAACTGAAAGGTTGGAGGCTGAAGCCCACCTAGAAACAGGTCTGAAGAAAGGCCTAGCTTAGCGTCTGCTTCCTAAAAATCGGCCATTAAAAATTCTATGGAGCACAGTTCTACTCTGACACATATGGGGTCCTTAAAACTTGGAAATGACTGAGCAGCAACTGGTTTACTAAAAAGTCCCTTAGAGAAATGTTAAGACCTAGCACTAATCTTTATTCTAAACTTGTTTTCCACTACAGTCCTTCCATATTCCTTTGCACTAGCAAACTATGTTCAAATGCATATTTTAATAAAGTATCCCAGTTTATTAAACTGGGATACTTTATTAAAATATGCATTTGTTTTTCTTCCATGATTTTCTTTTCCACAAGTTTACTCATCCAGAAAATTACTTCTTTGATTCAGGAATTTCTGTGGGAAAACAGAGGTAGCCAGAAGTCAGTGGCTCTTCAGTCTTTGTAAATACCTGAACTCTAAAGCAAAACTGTGGAGTATATTCAGAGTTATGGTGACCCATGTGTGTTTGAATAGAATTGTGTTCCATAGGTTTCAACAGCTGATTGTTTGGGAAGTAGATAACCTAGCCAGATTTTTCTTTAGAAGTACTTCTGGGTAGATTTGAACCTCTATTCTCCTTTAGCAGTCTCGTATTTTAACCATTTGTACCACCCAGGGACTCCACTCATATGTATGAATATAATAAGTATCTAAATTATAACATGTATCCATGTGCCTAAGTGGGAAAAAAGTCCATTCTCTCAAGTTTATCTCTCTCTCTTTCTCTCTCTCTCTCTCTCTCTCTCTCTCTCTCTCTATCTATCTATCTCTCTATTTATCTCTCTATCTATCTCTATCTAGATATAGATATAGATGTAAGCATATGTACATAGCTTGAGAGAATGGACCTATTTTCCCCCCACTTAGACACATGGATACTTGTTATAATTTAGATATAATTACCCTACAATGACAGGTAATTCCATGGCTCTATTTAGGGCTGATTCTTCACAAGATTTATAAGGCACTCTGGTAGCACAGTGGTTGTATGAGTTAGGCTGCTAACCTCAAGGTCAGAAGTTCAAAACTACCAGCCATTCCGTGGGAGAAAGATGAGGTTTTTTGCTCCTATAAAGATTTACAGTCTTGGAAATCCTATGCAGAGTTGGAACCAACTCCATAGCACACCACCTTTATAGACTTGTAGAACCTTCCCAGGAATGCTTTCATTTGTAAGTAAGGAGGGGCTAGCCAACCATATTGTTGTTGTTGTTAAGTGCCACTGAGTCAGTTCTGACCCATAGCGACCCTGCATAGGGTTTCCAAGGAGAGGCTGGTGAACTTGAACCGCTGACCTTACAGTTTAAATGACTTTGTAGTCTGGCGCATTGACACAGCGCCATACCAGGACTCCATATAGTTAATGTATAATGGAGTGTGGTGGCTCTGTAAGATAAGCTCTGAACCATGAACCACAAGGTCAGCAGTCCAAGCTCACCTGCTGCTCCACTGGAGAAAGATGAGGCATTCTGCTTCTGCAAAGCTTTCCAGTGTTGGAAAAGAGTTGCTATGAGCCAGAACCAACTCAATGACACTTAACAATAACAGCACTCTATGAGTAAAGGGCCAAGACCTGGGCATCTAAACCTACATCTAAATTCACACAGACTTAAAGAAACCTTCTTCACATTTTAAGCCTTAGGTTCACCCAGTATTTCATTCACTTAAAAATATTATTGGCTTAGGGGCTTTTTCTTAGATATTCCCTTTCCTTTACTACTTCACTCTCTTTTCTATTTTCTATTTAAGCTTGTTGGTGGTAGTTTTAAGTTGGTTCTAACTCGAAGAGACCCTATGTACAACAAAATTAAACACTGCCCGACCTGGGGCTATCCTCAATTGTTCCCACTGCGTACCTTCTAACTTCAGGAGCTCATCTTCGGGCACTGGATCAGACAATGTTCTACTACTATTCATACAATTTCCAGAGGCCAGTTTTTTTCATATGTGGATTACCAGTCTGTTTTAGTCTGGAAGCGCCACTGAAACCTGTCCACCATGGATAACCCTGCTGATATTGAAATACTGATGGCATAGCTTCCAGCATCACATCAACAAACAAGCCACCACAGTACGTAAGACAAATTCCCAGGTAGGTGGGGCTAATTCAACTGTTTGCTAAGTAGGTTTTTAGCTACACTCCTGATTCCTTGAAAATATTTACTGGTAGTGGCACCTAGGTGCATCAGAAATCGTTCTATTCATGCCACTCTCATAATTAAAAATATAGTCTAAAATGTTATCCCTTCTTTCATTATGGATATGCAGTATGGTTGTTGGTGTTGTTGTTAAGTGCACCAATTAGTACGGAAGAGGTGATCTAAAACTGTTAACATTAGTTACAAATGAGATAGTCTATAAAATAATTTTATATATTTATGAGCTTTTAATATTACAATTTCAAAGACGGTAGATGTCATTTGTAATTCAAGATATAAGCATAATTGGGATACAATTTAAACTAGTAAAACAAAAGGGCTGAGTGCTCATTTGAACCTATTGCTGTCATAGGTGTGCTACAAGCATAATTTCTTCACAAAATTATTGTGGTGTTTTAGTTAATAAAGCAAAGTTCTCCCCATCTCACTAGTGACAGAGAAGGAACTAACTAAAGGGTGAAAAAAAAAAAAAAAAGAGAACTGAAAGATTAGACTTCAACTCCCGCTCCAAAGAAAGCTGACAACTGATTCTCCTTCACACTAAACAAAGGAGCAACTCATTTTACTGGACAGCATCAGGGCCAATCTCACTATCAGAGGGTGGTTGACAGATCTAGGGTCATCATAATTCTAGGAATTTAAGAAACACAAATCTATGTTTTGTTTATATGAGCTCAATTTCTGAATGACTCACAACTTCCTACCTTAATTATCAATATACCAAATAGAAATTAGAGCTCAAAACAGGTATTTTCAGGATGTCCAAGTTAGCCAGAAAAAGGATTTTTTTATGAAATGTTTTGGGATAATTTGTGATGAGACTTTTGCTGTTAAAGAAAAGAAAAATGTAACTCAGTGGTGACGAGAGGAGAAACAGGTATTGAAAAAGTAAATCAGTTCAATGCTTCACTTACCTTTGGTTATATATTGTTCTGATCATGGGAGCCCTGTAGCATAGTGGCTAAAGCTTTCGGCTAACTGAAAGGTTAGCAGTCTGAATCCTCATGAGAGAGATATGGCATTCTGCCATAAACTCTTATAACCTTGAAAACCCTATAGGGCAGTTCTACTCTGTCCTGTAGGTCACAATGAGTGGAAATCCACCAGATGGCAATGGGTTTGGGTTTTGGTTTTGGAGCACAGTAATGAACCACCTAAAATGAGGGGGATTCAAAAAGTTCATAGAAATTTTGCATCATGTTTTAATTCCATTCTTCCATGAAATTTTTGAAACCCTCTCATATGTCTGATTAAATTTTATATAACTTGATATAGGGCTTTTTAATATTTACAATGTGCAATATAAAAATAACCATCCCCTTTTCTGTTTGTTCCTTTTCTATATACCTTAAGGACATAAAGCTTTTAAAACATATAAATAGCAGAATATATGTGAAAATCAATTTTGTATTAAAACATTAGTTTTTACATGAATCCACTGACCCATTGTTCTCAAGTAAAATAACTGCTGGATTTACTTCAGTGAAATATAACACGTATAGTAGAATTATTGTATTCATACAGCACATTGAAGACTACATTTTAAGTTGCACAACTGACCTTCTTTTCTATTAAAGAAAAATATAGACATAGCCTAAATTATAACTAATTGAATTATGGAACACTTTGAAAAGGAGAATCCTGTTGCTTTTCTTGCACATAAATCAATTTGGATCTCTAATACTTCTTTGCATTTCCTTGCGTATTTATATACATGACTTTAATGTTTTTTTAACTTGTAAGTATCTGATCACTTTATATACTGAACAAATTATACCTTGTTAAAACAGCCACACAGAAACAAACAACCCATACATTTAACAGATTTTCAGAGACATAAAAATAAGCTTTCTTTACAAAGAAGAACCAAATATACTCTATCATACCATCACAAGCCACAGCATGAAGATCAACTTTTGTCTGCCCAGCGACAGCATGAGGTGTTTACACTGAATTCACATCACTCACCTGTTTGGCTAAGTTGGGATGTGCTTCTACTCCTTCGAGATACTATGGCAACCACTTTGGCACTCAGGCTGGATCTCCGTTTCTTTCCACCTGCTCCAACTGTACCCACAGCTGTGTCCGACTGGCTGCCATCATTATGCTCCAGTGTGTACATCTCTCCACTCACACTGGTGCTCTTCGTGATGACTCTGCCTAAAGTTCCCATCCGTCTGCCTTGCATTTTAGGGGTAAATGAACTATATTTACAAAGTAAAAACATATATGCATACATAAATTACAGGTCAGCACAATAGAAACTCTCAATCTAATTATCTTGAAATAATCCAGGCAAACTCTTAGGGGAGAAAAGCCATTTTAATAGCAGTCCTATCAGTATCTATGAATAAATACCTTATTATCACATCATTACCCCACATCTTTACTAGAGGTAGCTTAAAACAATTTTATTTCAACATAAACCATAGACCTTTTAAAGATAGCAAAGTGAAACATAGATAATGCTATATACACAAGAGGTAAATATTACTGACTAATTTTATAAACAGTTACTGTTTTTTTTTTTTTTTCAGAGAAAAGCAAAATATTTAAATCAGTAAGAAAAGTTCATATATATTCTGAGACAAAAATGTTATAAAACTGATATAATCTGAAATTGCTTTATGACAAAGTTTATGAAAACAGAATTCGTTCTCATTTCCCTTTGGATTCCAATGATAGTCATCTCTTTGGTGACCTGAACCTTACTGTTCTTGACTCTATGACAGAAGTTTTCCCTCCTTTTTTAAACCCTTATGTTCCGTCTCCTTTACATAAATTTCTTCAACTCATTTTTCCTTCTAGCATATCTAACTTCTATGCTCTACACTGAAATATCCCTTTTTGAGTGTATTTCCATCAAGATGTACTTGTATATGTCCCTTGCTTGTGCTATGTCTTTTTAATTATTGTTCTTCTACTTCACACAAATGACTTATTGTTGAGAATTGTAGGCATCATGGAAGATCAGTGGAAGCAGAAACTCTCTCCACTTGCCAAAGTGGTGTATGTGTCTGTGAGTCAAGGAGAGGTAGGGAGCATGAATGCTATAATTCTTGGTACTTTTTACATTAATTACATTGTACATCTAAGTATAATGTCCATATTGTTGTTGCTGTAAGTGACTGTTGAGTTGACGTCAACTCATGGAAACCCACTGTGTGCAGAGTACAACTGCTCCATAGTGTTTTCAAGGTTGTGACCTTTTGGAAACAGGTCACCAGGTCTCTTTTCTAAAATGTTTCTGGGTGGGTTCAAACCTTTCTTCTTAACAATTTTTGACACCCAGGAACTCCATTATCCATACAGACTGGCCAGTTTAGTCCAACAAATAGCTCTTATTTGTTTCCTTAAGATATTCATAAAAATTGACATAAAGGACCCTTATCACCATCTTGATTTTTCTATGTATTGTTTTGAACAACAAAATGTGTATTAGCTCATGTGACATCTTTTTTAAACAGTGATGACACTTAATATGTAAAATAGAATATACTGCAAGTGATAAGACTGAAATTCTTCGGAGTAAGCAACATTCTTGTATCACATATACTTGGGGCCTTCAAAAAGTTTACAGAAAATGGAATTAGGAGGTAATAGAAGTTTTCAACAAACTTTTTGAAGTCCTCTCATATAGTGAATTGTTCAAGAAGAAGGGACATTGGTATGAGAAAGGTTGGGAGGGCAAGATCATGAAGGGTGAGTAAGCTATGGAAAGAGGCAAAAATGTTGGGTCCTTAGAATTCTTTCACATTCATGGACTGTGAACTGAAAATTGAGATCTCCATTCTGACAGGAATAATTTGGAGTTGTTAACTTTTAAAGGCATTACTCAAACTGGTCTACATCAAAATGCATTTTATATTTTTTACAGTTTAATCAGCCTTTCATCATCTCAAAGTTTTTTAAAGCTGTTTGTAAATCTGCTAATTTTGCTATACACTCAATGCAGTCTCTTTTACAAAACATTAATGAGGAGAGAAGGTGTCCTGGTGTGGTGCTGTGGGCTAATGCGTCAGACGGCAAAGCTGTTAGAACTGCAAGGTCGGCGGTTCAAGCTTACCAGCTGCTCCTTGGAAACCCTCTACAGTGTTGCTATGGGTCGGAATCAACTTGATGGCACTTCACAACAACAACAACATTACATATGGCCAGTCCAAACCTGGTTTTCATGGGATTTCCATTTCAAACAAAATGTTTTCTTTTCTGTTAAATATTATGGTCAATTTCTTCCATGTACTCACCTATTGATTTAAATGTATGACCTAAAACTTCCATCTCTCATTAAGTATATTCTGACTACCTGCTCTTTCTATTTTATTGCAGAACTCTGCTGGAGGAAACAGAGAATACCAGGATGTGGTAAATTTCACAGACATGGTGTCCGTCCTTCACTCAAACACCTGCTCCTGAGATTCAGCAGTTTTCCATTTCTCATCAATCTCCTTAACATGGTTCTGACAGTGGTTTCTAAAAACCTCTCTATTGATGATTTTACTTTAAATTGGACAATAACATGTAGATAAACTAATGTGTATCATTTTTTCTTCACATTCTTTCTGGAAAAATGGAATTCTATTGCAACTTTGAATTTTGTACCTTTAGAATCAATTGTTTTTGTTGTTAATTGCCATGGAGTCAGTTCCAACCCATAGCAACCCAATACAGGATTTCCTAGGTGAATTTGAACTGCCGACCTTGTGGATCAAATCGACCTCATGGTTCTGCACTTATCCCACAGTGCCACACCAGGACTTCATTTAGAATCATTACATAAATATTGTGAAATTTTTGACAACGTTCTTTAGGTTATTGAGTTTAAAAATAAGGCGAAATGTCTTCTATCAAAAATTTTTTTTCAAGATGAACTAGGAAGATTCACAAATCTTTTTAAAGGATACCTTAACTATAGAAATGAGTAAAACTCTGGGGTAAAAAACTTAAGAGAAATCTCTCAGTATGGTAGGTTATTATATTTGGGAGTGTTAAGAAATTATATTACTCATGTTTTGTGAATAAATATTACAATTTTTCCTCAAAAATGAAATATTTCTTTAGAAGTTTGAAAACATTTTTATATGATCTGAGAATGTGTAACCTTGCAAATGAATGCAGAAGATACTATTATTCAATAAGAACATGCCAAGACATTTTTCAATTTTTCTACCTATCTAAGACTTTACTACACTAGTGAGGGAGAGTAGTTTAGGGGACATGTGATCAATATGAAAGGAGCTCTGGTAGCATAGTGGTTATGAATCGGGCTGCTAACCTTAAGTTCAGCAGTTTGAAACTACCAGCTGTTCTGTAGGAGAAAGATGAGGCTCTCTGCTCCTGTAAAGATTTACAGCCTCAGAAACCCTGTACAGGGTCGTTATGAATCGGAACCAACTCCAAGGCACATAACCACCACCAACAATCAATACGAAAGTCATTATTTTTGTACAGTTTAATTTGTTCCAAACTTTCATCATTGTAGTAAGATTATAGTTGAAGAAGAAACCTACACATAATTTCAAGTCAATGAACAGTACACAGGAGTCTTGGTGTAGCACCATAGGATAAACACTGGACTGCTAACCAATAGATTGCTGCTTCAAACCCAACAATCCCTCCTCGAAAACCCTGTACAGAGTTGCTACGGGTCACAACTAACTCAATGGCACTTAACAGCAACAAACAGTACCCATAAACCAGGGCTTTGTGTTGGCTAGAACCAGTTTAGTTATGGCTGACAAAGTGAAACCATAAGAGATTTAAATTTTTAAAATTTGGGTGCTCCAGAATGGGAAAAATGACAGGTTGAAGCCCTGGCATGGGAGACTTGGAAGAGGCCTAGTGAGATCTTTCCGGTGTCTGATATATGACAGTGAGTTACTGCCAGAATTGGGGAGAGTGGTATGTATTCAAAGCTGCATGGCCAACTGCCATCTTTGAGCCAGGCACAGCTGAGTCTCTGACTGACATGAGATATGGTTGCTGTGCAAATGTTCATGCTGTCCTTGTTCTCTAGGAGGAAGATTAAGTTTCTAGTAGGGCTTAGGAATAGTTACAGTCGAAATCTGCAATTATTCCTGTTCAGGTTACTGTTCCAGTTCACCCACATTTAAAAAATTGGGGTCCCTTCTGATATCACTTCATCAGCCATGGCTGAACTGAGCTGAGCGAGTTTGAAGCACTGTCACAAGCTAGAAAATAAGGTACACTTAAATGAGCAACACAAAAAATACTTCCTTGGAATTATGAGGTTTTAAATGCACAGAATTTACAAAGAAAATCTAATTACAGTATGTTGTTATTATTTTTAAGTGCTGTTAAGTCAGTTAGGACACATAGCAAACCTGTATAAGGTTTCCAGGGAGCAGCTGGTGAATTTGAAATACCAACCTTGGGGTTCAAATTGACTTTGCAGTGTTCATCCTACAGTGCCACACCATGATTCCAATTACAGTATGTATAGAGACAAAAACACCATCTTTGTACATGTGCCAAAAATTTACAAGAAAATATTAAACCTTGAATTTGACATAGTTTTCACGTTGTTGTTAAGTGCTTTCTAGTCAGTTCCAACTCACAGCGAATCTGTATATAGCTCTTCGGTTGGTGAGATTGAACTGCTGACTTTGTGGTTCAAACCAACCATGTGGGCCAGTGCTTTATACCACAGTGTCACATCAGGACTCATTATTAGGCATTTCTGTTTCCTTATATTTAAGTAATATACATAATAATCATTTAAAAATTTCAGTCATGAACTCATTAATAAAGTTGTAATAAGAGGTGATGCTACAGTTTTTCATTTTAGGAAATACGGTCCATGCAGGAATTAACTTAATCCTTTGTTTATGTTTTAATTTAAATTACAGAATTTCCTGCATTTCTTTAGGGCAGATGATTACCTCTCCTCAGAAATCCTACACAAGGTTGTGCTGAATCAGAACTGATGATGTCACTTAACAACAGCAACAAAACATAAGTTTTGCAATACTTTTCCTCTATTAGCATTTTTGTATATTTACAACTATTAAGAACTAGCCAAGATTACAGATTCCTTATAACCTTAATGAAATTACTGTGAACACTTAACTTTGAATAGTGTCATTTATAACAAACTGGAACTGCAATGTTAAGAACCAGGTAACAACCTTTCTGTGCACTATAAAGCAATGTTGTTGTTGTAGTTAAGTGACAGGTTCAGAAT